GCCAGCAAAAGGCCCTGCACGCACGCCATCCTACAAAACTTCAAGGCAGTTCAAAGCCCTAGCGCATCCCACCCTGGCATTCTTCCGTGCGTGCTGAAGTCCGGATCCGGAGGAGGACGCGGCGAGGAGGAAGAGGGCCGGCGGGGCGGAGCGAGTCGGGGCGCGAGGCGGTCGAAGGGAGGACGGGGCGCGTCGGGATAGAGTTGGACGAACAAGGCAGCGGCGGCGGCCTCCTCCCACACGCCCCTCCGTCCGTTCCCAGCCGCCCGTCGGTGGGGCTTGAAGTTGAACTCGTCCTCTTTCTGGTAGCAGCGTGCGGGTCGCAGCAGGAGAGGGTTTGAGGACGTTATCAGGAAGCTGTTGACCAACTGCCAACCAATTGCTGGCACATCTACCCCTTAATCAATCCAAATATTTTTAGTCAATATATATGTTCGTTCAAGTTCTCCTTTTTCTCTCCTTTTCGGCAAATCCGAGTGCTTGAGTGTTCACAGTAGCCCTTTTTTGGCTGCTTTTAGAGCTCCTTTTTTTAGAGCTCCTTTTTACTTCCTTTTTACCCTAATGGCTGGGAAGAGACAAAAAGGAAGCAAAGAGGTGTGTTAAAAGGAGCCAAAAAGGGCTACTGTGAACAGTATTTCTCCCCTTCACACTTTAACTAGCTACGGGTATCAGCACCAAACAGGGTTGTGAATATCCGCGTCGTTTGCGCGACGCGGTGAGCCAAGATATACTTGTATCCTCCAAGCTTCAACGCGTACCTTGAATGACGTCGACGGCGGACATTGAGTGTTCATCTTTGATAAACGTCTCATTTAAAATTATCCGGACATCGTGTACAGTTCGGGATGTCGATGCCGCTCCTTCCCCGCCGGCACATCGGCTAACGTACGAGTGCCCTACGTCACCATCCTCAGAGCGCCTGATTCTATGCGGAATTATCAACGCTCCTCAGAAGATCCTTATAACAAACGAGGTACGAGTTGAGAATGTTATAGCGTCTGTTTATAAGAGACTAGAAGATCCTTTGTCCCAAACTAGATTCCTCATTGTCTCTTCCAACATCGTGAGCTCTGGATTCCATGGTTAGCATCGCTGGTATTCCTCTGCTACAACACGATGTGCTTGAAATACATCCTTGGCGCGTCGACAAAATGGCGCCACGCTCCAACCTCCGGCGGGTTTCCAGGGCTTTGGTTCCAGGACTAACTGTCCCCGTTGGAATGCGTCTGATGGAGGCTTCCGACTTAGTATCCCATGTATCGCCGACGCATTCATGACGTAGATTCCTGGCCCTAAGGTATGCCGCCTTGTCTCTTTCTGCCATGTGAACGGTATAAATCTGCATCATTATACAGAGCCTATCAATGGCAATGTCAATTACTTCACGGCCTTACGGAGGGGTTCCTCTTGTGGATATGTGTTGCCGCGCTTTTACTCCGCCGCAACACTGCGGCTTCCAATCAGCGGACAGCCTTGTCTTCCTCAGCGCGGACAAGATTCCTGAAATTCTCCGGACATGGAGAAATGCTACGTTGCGAATATTCTATCGTTGTCTTTTCTTTTCTCGGGATCCTCCGATAATGCGGGGAGATGTTCAATCACGTCCAACGAACCCAGCCGCTCGTATCAATCTTTTTCGACCGGCACCTATCCACGGTTTCTCTTGTCAACTAGCCCCACCGCTCCACAATTCTCATGTTGCGCGCGTCCATCACGAGGCGATGTTCGGCCGAGTCTGAGCGCATCCATGACCGAATGCTCGTTCCAAGGCCTTTTCAATCGTACGAACGACTTTCCGCAAAACATATAAAAGCTAGCTTCGTTCTCTCCCATTCCTCACTCGAACACATCCACCTGTAGTTCAAGCTCTCTCATAAACCAAACATGTTCTCCAAGCTCTCTGTCGTTGTCACTTCGGTGCTCATTGTGAGCCCGAACACCTTTCTTTCAAATACCCATCTTACATTGTTTTAGACCCTTGCTGCCGCCATTCCCAACACCACGCCCCCAGTGACGCCTCCGACCTCCAACCAGTGCTGCAGCAGCGTGGTCCCCTCGAGCGACGCCGCCGCCTCCGCGGTCGCCGCCCTCCTCGGGCTTGACCTCAGCGGCCTCCTCGTCGATGTCGGCTTAAGCTGCTCGCCCATCACCGTCATCGGAAACGACTGGTGAGTCATCCCGAATATCTTTACCCGTCTCCTCGGCTGATCTCGTCGCTCAGCGGAGGTACCACCGTCACCTGCGACACACCCGACGAGGCGTGGGGTGCGTGAAAAACTCCACTGCATGTTTAGGATCCCCACTAATAATCTCCGGATCCAGGTGGTCTCATCGCCATCAACTGCATCCCTATCACTCTCTGAGTCGAGCGCGCAGTGAAGAATCGGACATCTCAGTGTTGGGTCTTTCGAGGTTTCCGTTGTACATTTTCATACGTCGGCGCTGTTCGTGTTGAATGTCCCGAAATATAATGTTATCTTCTGAGTTTGTCTTTCTCTGATATTTGAATGCTGGAGCACTATGCAACACCGCCTGAGTAAAATACCCATATTTGAACTATATGCTCTACTCCGAAATAGAAATACACTTGGTTATGGGTGACATTCACCACATCCGGCGGTGCTATCTTTTCTCTTCCGCGCATGTGCTGGTCCGATCGAGGTACCATAGTTTGGAACGTATTGTGGCGATGGTGAAGCCCCGGAAAAAGCTGTTGGTATTTTTTGAGAATTACCCCAATTTGATTATTCGTCCAGTGGTTCACACTGCGGTGCTATCCTCAGTAGTGTCTTGAAATATTTACGACAGACTCTCAGTGAATCAGGTTAACGGCGTACGTCGAAATCACCCTGATTTCCCGCACACCCCATCGCTGATGGATGCGGGGTAGGCAAACATACTGTGTCATTGCTGGCCATTCCGTGAAATAGGCCCCGGACTGACCCGACTCGCCGTCCCATTCGGCATTTTGCCGCGTACGGGAGGCATCGCATTCGGTTGATCACATCGCATCCACGTCGCTTGGGATGAGGTGAAACGGCTGGTTGTACTGTTGGATCACTTAAACGAAGCAGTCGAGAAATGACCAAATATCGGAGGGTGCCAACAGTGCACATATAGGATATGTAGCTCTGGGATAAAGCTCGCCGTTCGACTCGTCCATTTTATTTCCGGTGGCTCACTAGTCATAACGAGGATGAGCACGGTTAGATCTACTGTTATAAATTAACATGTTCGATCCTGTGAGTTTGACTTTGCAATTTTTTGTCCTACGGATCGTTTATTCCGGATCAACATGAACAGCCAAAATGAAGGAATTGGGAGAGGAAGGTGGGTGGGTGGATCATCGAAGATGGTGCTGCAAAGTATCCTTCATCACCCCGAAATTATTGCCCGATATTCCTGTAACCGATTAGGGAAACAGGTATCTTCCGGATTTCCTTTTATCGAATCCTCATGACCGAGACTCTGAGTCTAGACTCCTTCCTTTTCCGGCCTCCTGAAAACAGCTTTGCTTTTCACATCTTGCCCCGGCAACTCCCGAGCTGAGTCTTGCTGCAGCAAAGCACACACCAATGCATCCCATTTATGCTGCACCGTGTGAATCTGTATTCTCAGTGGTGTTTGTAGGCAACACAGTTAATGTGGAGGCACTGTGGAGGTTACAGGGGTGCCCGGAGGGCCTTTTGAATGAACAACATCGTGTTTTTATTCCTTGTAACGCCGCATCCGAGCCCAGTAGGGGGGGGGGGGGGGATTTATTATACTCGCAGGGTCCACAACATGAACAACAAGTTTACCGAAGACAAACAAGTAGGTACATGAGGGTGGTTATCCTTACATAAACTCTACCAGATGCCAACGGAGCACACACCATTCCAGGGGATCGATGACTACAAGATGCTCACCAAGTGTGGTGTCCAACTTGCTGCTCTGATAACACTTAGGACTGAAGCCAGGAAAAGATCTCGCTCAGCCCGTTCTCCATTATTTTACCAGCAGACCCCCTTCTCTATTGATTTTGGACAACCTGGAAACCGTATGGGAGCCAAGAGAGTTCCGAGACTCACGATCACGAGAGAGAATACATAAAAATTATGAGAAATGCACGCATTGCCCGACCCCGAGTCGAGCGAGGGCCTTCTGCGCATCAAACTATCAGACGTAAGGAAGGCAGACGCACACCATGTACGACCGGGTGTTATCTTCTTTAGACGTTTGTGATACCTTAAATGCTGATTCAGCCTGGGTTGCAGATCGTGGTTGGCTTCAAGGAATTCAACACGGCACCATGAGGAGCGGGGCAGTGAACAGCTACATTTGTGGCTGGTTTTGAAAGTAAGCTGCTGGGTAGGCGGGAGAGGAGCCTGAAGAAACAAAAGATAGTTGCACCGCCGCCATTACCCGACCCCGAGTCGAACGGGGGGCCTTCTGTACATGCCACGTGGATGAGATGTGAGGAATTCAGGCAGAGGCACGCCGTGTGCTACCGGGTGTTGAACACCCCTCCTTCTAACCTTACTAGCACGAGTTCTTGATCCAGACGCACACTTGGTGTTCAACCGAGCTGAGACAACCATCGCCGCATTAGCCAGGAAGACGTATCCCGCAAGGTTCAAGGGAGAAATTGAATGGGAGATAATGACCAGGAGTTGGAGGAAGACGATGAGGGGACGGCAACAGATCGCAAAAAGAATGACAGGAAACGCTATCACCCGGCCTCGAGTCGAACGGGGGCCTTCTGCGTGCAAAGTGGACATTTGTTAGGCTCAGCAGATGCACGCCGTGCTACCAGGTGTTACCCCCCCCCAGTCCGACCTGCGGGATACTCAGCCTCGGGCGACGGGTTGCAGATTGTGGTTGGCTTTAGGGAATTCAACAGGGCACCGGGGAGCAGCGTGTGACGGTGATTGAGCTCGTGCGTTGACCGTGGTTGAAGTGAGCTGCTCGGTGAACTGAAGGAGAGCCTGAAGGAAAAAAACCTGACTGGATACGGGGTATCATCCGACCCCGAGTCGAACGGGGGCCTTCTGCAACCTTCACTGGCACACCTTCAAGGCTTTGAGAATGGGCAGATGCACACCATGTGCGACCGGATGTTATCCTCCCTCCAACACCGTCGGCGGAATGCATTCGAATGTGGCACAGCTGCATATTATACATAGTTGAACATCAGCGGCAAGCTCAACGAGAAAATCTTTGCGCTCTGAGCGGCAAATTCGGCCTTCAGGGAGCTGCTTGGCGGGTGGTGGGCGGGAGCGAAGCCTGAAGGAGTGCCTAAAGGGGAAAAAAAACCGACCCCATGAACATGCCATCACCCGACCCCGAGTCGAACGGGGCTCTTCTGCCATGCAATCGACAAAATGGTTAAGAAAGGCAGATGCACGCCGTGTGCGACCAGGTGATACTATATAATACCCTTCTAGCATTTCTTATGAGATGCATGTCTTGTCGACGCAGATGCAGCTCAGCGGGTTTGAGAGGCAGGAAAAAATAATGATATAGCGGGGACGGAATTTGGGGGTCTTTTGAGACAGCAGGACAGGAACACAGACTGCAGAGACCGGGGGGAGAGTCACGAGTCGGAGTCGATCGAGATGGACGCAAGTGAAGGGAAGGTAAAGTCAAGTCAAGGAGGTGAGGAGAAGGGAGGGGAGAAGGGAGGTGAATGAACGAGGCAAAGCCTAAGAGAAAGGCACGTAAAGAGAAGGACGGATGAGCACTGATATGGGGCTGGGGAGTGGGTTGGTCGGATTGGCTTCGCAGGGAGGTCCGCGCCAGGGTGTGTTCAAGTTCCGTCTCCGTATTCCGTCGTGTAAATATCGAATGGAATGGGCTCTCATGCGAAACGGGATCGGAAACACAGACGACGGGAAAGGCATTGTGATGGTAGGGAACGGATTAGAATGCTCGACATCGCAGCAGACAAGACGTGATACACATTCCTGATGACGTCATCAAATCCTCTTTTGCTGCGCGACCCGCACGCTGCTACCGTCGACCGAGCAGATCAGACTTCAAGGAGCCACTATATGACACCCAGAAAGAGGACGAGTTTAAATTCTTCACGGCGCACCGACGGGCCGCTGGGAATGGACGCGCCGGCGGAGGGGCGTCTGGGAGGAGACCGCCGCCGCCAGTGCCTTGTTCGTCCAACGCTCTCCCGACGCGCTCCCTCCTCCCTTCAACCGCCTCGCGCCCCGAATCGTTCTGCTCCGCCGGCCTTCTTCCTCTTCGACGCGTCCTCCTCTGGATCCGAACTCCAGCGCGCACGGAGGAATGCCAGAGAGGGATGCGCTTGAGCTTTTGAAGGACCAGACCAGGTGCATGGCGTGCCTTTTGCTGGCGGGTTCTCGGGGCTTTGCGCCCATTTCATGCCCCACTGGCATATCCAAGTACATCGATCGTGGCGATCCATTTCCTGATGATTTCTGTGTATCTTATCCTACTCGCCCGATCTCCCGCTTCCCACCCATGCTTTCCTCATTCCTCCCCATAGTAATATTGCCTGCTAACCCACCTCTCTCAGGCTTGCGCGTCTGCAACTCAGCGCTCACTCGTTATCGGCACGCACGCAGCGCAGAGTTATAGCGCCCGTCCGAGTCGCGGCAGCTGATACAGCCACCGGTGCGTCCCTCATCCCCGTTCTCGTTCTCGCGGGTTCCGTGCGCCCCTCTCCTCCGTACCACTCTTTCCCTCCCCTTCTTATTATTGACGCCGGCGCCGATGCTTACACAATGCTACGGCTCGGCCACTGCGCTCCGCGATCGAAGGCGGAGGTACATTCTCTGCTCGTGCTTCTATCTTGCTGGGCCCTTTTTCGGCTGCGCGCCTTCACTGGCGCTTTCCGTGATCGCATCCCGCCCTTACGGATCCCCCCGCGTCCTGGGCAGAGGCGAAGACGCGCGTGCCGTGTCGGTGCGCCAATCACACCGACACGATAGCGATCTGCGCCGGGCGGGCGCGTCTCTATTTCTAATTCTCCCTCTCCTTACTTCGTACGTCCGCTGCCGCGTTCCCGCTGCCTTGGGTGGTCGACAGCGTGGCGATCGAAGGATGGCCGCCGTCATCGTCGCGTTCGCGTGCGTGCCCCTCAGCTGGTCCTAGGATTCCCGCCCTTTCCCTTTCACCGCGCTCGAAGAAGCCGCCGTGTCGCGGGGGCCGTCGTTGCTACTGGCGGGTGCGGGTGCGGGTGCGGTGCGGGTGCGAATACATTTCTTGCGTCACGATTAAGCGCCGCACATTGCTCTAATTCGGTTTTGGTACGCGCCGGGTGCTCGGTCTGTGCACTGTTTGGGAACTATCGCGTGGACTCTCGCGTGAGTGCCGATAGTGACTTGCGCCGGCTCGGAGGCGGGAGGGATATCGTCCGTTCTGCCCTCGAGCGCCCTGGGCGGCGTGCTAGAATTGACGGAGACTCGGACTCGCATGTTTTCCGTCAATTGACGACTCTTCTTGGACTTGCGAATGCGATTGGCGAACTTGTCGATATTTAAATTCGTTGCCACTCGCCTTCCATTGGACGTTCGGAGTCTACTTTTCTCTGTCGTACATTCCACGCGGGCGCCTACAAAGACACACATACCACTGTTAGATCTCCGGTTTCCCTAGATTTTGCGCCCCACTTGCCGTGTTCGTCCTCGCTACATCTGGGTGCGGACGCTTCGATCGTACATGTAAATCACAGGTGCTGCCAGTCGGTGGGTGAATTTTGGATGAATGTGCACGCGGGACCTTCCATGTAAATCAAGCGCGCCTGCGAGTTCAACATACGCGTGAATGGGTTTGCTAGTGTTGATTAAATTATTGTTCGACTTCGACGGAAGGTCAATGCAAAAAGAAGCGTTTCAGGGGCGGGCCATCACCCGACCCCGAGTCGAACGGGGGTCTTCTGCTCATATTGGTCGCATTATCACCCGCATAAGATAGGCAAATGCACGCCGTGTGCTACCGGGTGGTTATGCTCCCTGCTGTGTGCCTGGTTGAATGCCGTTGGACGAGCAGCGCGCGTAGTTAAATTTTAAGCTGGGCAAGTTGGACACCATACTTCATTTTCAGGGTGCGGCTGATTCTGGCAAACATTCAAGGGAGTGACCTGGGGAAATTTCGTCCCGCTCTGAACTCCCTTTCTTTCTTCTGCTGTGAATCCCACCCCACCCAGACTACGTGGGGGTCAGGCTTTTCTCCTCACTCGACGGAAGGAATGCAAAAAGGTTCAGGATGTGGATCACCCGACCCCGAGTCGAACGGGGGCGTTCTGCGTACACGCTCTACAATATCCCATGAGAACAGCAGATGCACACCATGTGCTACCGGGTGGTTATACTCCCTGCTGTGTTCCTGGTTGAATGCCATTCGACGGGCAGTGTGCGTAGTTGGATTCTACGTTAGGCAAAGGTGGACGCCATTCAATTCATTTTCAAGCTCCGGAGGATTCTGTCAAAAATTCAGCCGAGGGACCCGGGGAGAATTCGTTCCGCTCTGAGGTCTCTTCCCTTCTTCTATTTCACATTCCACCCCACCGCCTGGACATACAGACCACGCGGAGTTCAAAATTTTCTTCGCGCCTACTGGGAGCTCGGGCTACACGGATTTTTTACACTTACGTGCTCAACGTGTTCATCTTGTGAGTATGGAAGCTTCAATCCTGCAACTTTAACGTACGCGTGAATGGGGCTTACTAGGTATGGTTCAATTATTGTTCAACTTCGACGGAAGGAATGCAAAAAAAGAAGAGTTTCAGGAGATGGATCACCCGACCCCGAGTCGAACGGGGTCTTCTGCTCATATTGATCGTCTTAAAGTCCATATAAGATAGACAGATGCACGCCGTGTGCTATCGGGTGGTACGACCTATCTCACTTTCCTCGTGGCATCTGCAGCTTCTCAATGTGGATTCAGTAAGTTCGGTTCATCCGAAGTGAATTCTATAGGAAGAGGTACAGTCTCCTGCGAGACCAAAAACAGTGTTGTCAAGAGATAGATTGGTTGAGATAGAGTGGGAGGCGTTTTTCGAGGGCGGGAATTAATTCAGAGCAAGGGATGGAATAGAAATTTAAAACGATCCGAGCAATGGTGCATGACCGGACCCCGAATCAAACGGGGGTCTTCTGCAAACTTCTTGTAGATTTGAAGCCCAATATGGGCAGATGCGCACCATGTGCGGCCGGTGCGCCCAGTGCGTAGTGGGAGTTCAAGCGTTGAATTTTAATTTTGTTGAAGTTGAACGCAAGGTTCGTGTGTTGGGAATTAAATCAAGAGTGGCTGCGGGACCGAGATTAGCTGCTTGGTTGGACCGGTTGGACTGAGAGGGAAGCCTGAAGGAAAAATGTGTGGTGGACAAATGTATCACCCGGCCCCAAGTCGAACGGGGATCTTCTGCATAGCACGTAACCGCCCGTTTACATTACGCAGATGCACACCCTGTGCGACCGGTCCTTCTTGGCCTGCGAGATGCCCAAATTTTTTGTCAGGAAATTAGTTCAACCGAGGGTCCTCTAATGAATTTGAGCAAGGGACGGGCGCTGGCGAATGAATTGCGACACTGGGATTTATAAACGGGTTTTCAAGGGACAGGGAAAATAACGAAGGATACATTCATCATCACCCCGAAGAGGCCTTCTGCTCTTATTTTCTTATTGAAGGGAAGCAGACGCACGCCATGCGCTACCGGGTGTCAAGACCCCTCCTTCTCGGCCTGTGAATGCGTGACTTTCTCGTTGGGGAATTAGTTCAACCGAGTTTGTAATCGAGGAAGGGTGCTGGCGAAATTGCGACCGGGTGTTACCTTATCTTGTTTAGACATTTGTGATACATTAAATGTTGATTCATCATTCAGCCTGGGTTGAAGTTAGTGGCTGGAGTTCCGACATTCAACCTGGAACCGGGATTGAAAAGTCGTGGGGGCGGGTGTGGGTGAAGTTCAGTCCCTGGGCTGGATCGGTTGGGGGGGAGGGAGGCCTGAAGAAAGGAAAAACGCAGGCGAATTCATACCACTCGGCCCCGAGTCGAACGGGGGTCTACTGCACATGCAATGTCGATGAGATGTAAGGAAGGCAGAGGTACACCGTGTGCTACCGGGCGTTAATCCCCTCCATCTTTCCTTCTTAGATGCATAACTTTTGATTCAGACACACATCCGGTGTCCAACCGAGCTGAGACAATCATTGCCACATTAGCGAGGAAGAGGTATCCAAACATTATTGTCAAAAGATGAATTGGTTGAGATTGAGCGTGTTGTTCGAGGCGATGCGCAGGAGTTGGAGGAAGCAGATGAGCAGACGGCAACAGATCGCCAAAAAAAGGATGGAAACCAGCACTATCACCCGACCCCAAGTCGAACGGGGGCCTTCTGCATACTATCTTGATATACACAACGTGAGCAGATACACGCCGTGTGCGACCGGGCGCCATCCGTCCCCTTCGGGCGTGTGTGATACCTTGCGGGTTTGACCGTGAATTAGTCACGGTGGTGGTGATACTGGAACGTGGGATGATGGGGGACTCAGGGCGGTGAGTGCAAGTCTATTCAACTTGTTGGGGCTTACGAAGGTTGAGTTGAGTTTGTCAGGCGAAGAAAAGGAATACATGGTATCCGGGAAATCACCCGGCCCGAGTCGAACGGGGTGGTCTGCGTGCTTGAACTAAAAGTGGCGTGTTCGCCGAAGAACGCAGGTGCACGCCGTGTGCGACCCCCTCCAACTTGCCTCTGAAATGCTCCTTTTTTTCGTCGGGGATTTGGCCAACCGAGGGGATTGCGGGGGGGAAATGAATTACGCTGAGTCTTGGACTTACGAGTGCATTGCGAGATAGCGAGGCGGGGAAAGTTAGAGAAGCGCTATCACCCGAAGACGCGCCGTAAATTGGCGTACTGTACCTCGATGCGGAACCGGATGGGTGTAGAGCGGGGAGGTAATCTCGAGCAGGGAGCTGGGAGGGTGTTTAAGGGACAGGAACGAGGCCGACCTGCGAGCTACAGCGACCGGTGTGCATGGGAGTCACGAAGTAAAGGGAAGGCAGATGAGGAGGAGGGGAAAGGTAAACGGAACGAGTGAAGGGATGCCGAGAGAAGGCCGGAAGAGTACAGCTAGCGCGCCTGCGGGGCCGGGGACTGGGTTGGCGTCGGATTGGCTTCGCGGGAGGTCCGTGCCAAGCTGTGTCCAAATTTCGTCCCCATATTCCGTCGTGTAAAATCAGGTAAATTCCAAGTTCGCATGCACAAGCCTCCGAAAGGGGATCGGAAACACAGACGGCGGGAAAAGACATTGCGATGGCAGGGAGGAAGGGAATGCAACGCGAGGCCACGAAGGAGTAAGTACAGTGCTCTTTGGATTCATCGCAGCAGACTCGGACAAGCCCTTTCGCCCTTCTTGATGATGTCACCAGACCCTTCTGCTGCGCGACCCGCACGCTGCCACCGTCGACCGAGCACCCAACCCTCCCAGGCCGCGCCGTCTCGCACGTATGCAGCTCAGTGCTCAGCCGTAATCGGGGAGCGCGCGCAACGCAGAGTTACCGCGCCCGTCTGGGTCGCGGGAGCCGATACGGCTATCGGTGCGTCTCTCGTTTTCGTTCCACTGTGGAAAGTAAAAACACTACATGTGAGTGCTCAAGAACTATTTATGCAACTTGGGGGTGAAGGCCGTGGCACGGCCCGGCAAACTCGTTTTTTTTTTTTTTTTTGTATATGCCATCGACCACTGTCCGATCAGCTCTGGTCTTTTAACCCACGATGTCATCACCACTCTCAAAGTGTGCTATCACAGCGAGAAAATTGCTTTAGGCATTGTTCAGATGCTGTACCCTGTTCTCCTAGGCCTTGACTGGCTCAAGTGCCATGATCCCTCCATCAATTGGGCTCGCGGCCAGCTTTCGCTCACATGCTGCGGCACCAGTCACGATTTCCCTACAGCCGCATTTGGAAAAGGCTATGGTCTTGCACATTTGCCTCCGTCTCCTCGTCCCCGTCTCCTGCTTCCGCGATCACCTCTGTTGGACTAGACCTTTGTCTTAATGGCAAATCACTCATCTCATCCATCTCCGACTGCATTCATCATGCAGAACCTGTTCACACACAGGCCCGCAGTCATCTAGCTAACATTTCCGCTCCCACTCCATTCTCCGCCCCATTCGCGCTCAACACAGCCTTCGTCGGACCGAGCTCCTTGCCATCTGGACCTCCTATGTGTAACTTGAGAGAGGAAAGAGGCATCGACCCGGACATCCGGTGGTTAAAAACGACTCAAAAGGCATGGCATCAAAAGCACGAACTTATCTGGTGAAGACAAGAGGTACCGAGAAAAAGAATTCTCTACACCGGGTATAAAAAGTGGATCAAGGTGCTCGGGGACTTACCTATTAGCCGAGGTTACATAATCGCCGAATCCGGTAATTAGCTCCCACCCTATCCTGTCTGATGATAAACCTTCTCAAAACTTGTGTGAATCCGCATTCTTGCACTTCAAAGTTCAAACTGCTGGATACATATTACGGGCGGCAACATATTGGGTTCCATGCAGTGCGATCTGAGGGTCGTGCACTCTTCATAACACGTTAAATCATGTCGAAAGCACATCGAAGATCAAAAATTTCCTACCGTTCCACAGGTATTTAAGTAATGGAATTCATCCTGATTTTTTGCTTCTAAATTTCTGTTTGCCCCCTGAAAATTGCCACTGAGCCTTCCAGCAGCACCAGACTTCTTCGCTGTCTCTGAACAGCAGAGGGTCAAAGGCCTTGGCGGGTGTCAAGCATCATTACGTGGATGCAAAGTCATGGGGTGAAAAGTACGCCACTCATGGAGCCCAAAGTCAGTGCAGACCTGAGAAGGTTGGCAGCAAAATATGTATTCCTTTGACTTTTTTCTCTGAGGTGTGCAAACACATTTTCGAGATCTTCCGCAACTTTTTCCAAAAAGTGACTTAAAACCCTCCGGGACCTGCCTACCGTACTAGCCGGTGTCTCGGCATCTTCCGGCGGGTACCTCTTAGGTGGAGATGAGTTAAAGATTGTCGGAAAAGAAGCAGGCCCGGATCTCAAGGTGTTCAAGTACGTCTCCTATTTGCATTATATCAATTAAAATACTGTTGTTGCAGACCATTGGTGACACAGAGCCTCCATAATCCGGTGATTTTTGTGCTAGAATGAGAATCGGCAAATGCCGTGATGACACGCCTCGGCGATCAATAACGGCAGCCGGTACGGCTGCTGCAGATATTAAAACTGTGGGTGTAGATTTCAAAGCGCAATACATTTGGACACATCGAGAGATTTTTATGGGTAGTTGTATGGTTGCCTAATTGACTACAGCCTATTACGTTTAACCTGATACAACAAACCATGTAATGTTCTGTAGGGCGGTAAACGAGACCACAACTGATTTTGGTGGTGGGCAATCCCGAATGATCCGCCGTGACGATCACGTGCGGCGTGCATCGAGAAGCGATCAAATGTAGCTGACCCAACACTTGATCTTTTTCTCTCGACTTCAGTTTTCCCTATTTTTCCCTGTAACGATACTCAAAATGCACATTGTATGAATTCCATATACCAGTGAACTTCATGGGGATTTTCCTCCTCAATTGAGACCGCCAGAACATCCCGAACAGCCACCTTGTGGAACAAGTGTGGCTTTCACTTTCTCTCGGTAAGGTCGAAAAGGTCCCAAAATAATCTCTGGGTGTCTTGTGCACTAGAGAATCATACTTGATACATATTCGGATGTCCCAGACGCCCGTGATAGGTTCCCTAGGCGAAGAACTGCCAGATCAGGTGAGGTCAAACAGGTGTAAATATATGCACTTTACATCCCGCAACACATTTTCCGGTTTCCACAGGCCGGCGTCGA